GGGTCTGGAGGGAGAGAGGATGAGGATGTCATCCAGGTAGCAATGGAGGCGGACCGGGAGATTCCTGAGATGGGCCGCCAGGGCCGCGAGGACCTTAGTGAAGGTCCTCGGGGCAGAGGCCAACCCAAAGGGAAGGGCGACGTATTGGAAGTGGTGGTTGTAGCAGAACCTGAGGAATTTGAAATGGGAGGGTCGGATTGGAATGTGGAGGTAGGCCTCGGAGAGGTCTATGGAGGATAACCAGTCCCCCTGCCGGATGCTGAGGAGGATGGACTGCAGGGTGTGCATCTTGAACCTGCGATAGACCAGATAACGGTTAAGGCGTTTAAGTTCCAAGATGGCCCTCCATCCTCCGGAGGATTTGGGAACTACGAAAAGATGGGAGTAGAACCCCTGCCCCCGCTGGGAGGGTGGGACGGGTTGAATGGCCTGTATGTGGAGAAGATGATGGATTGCTGAATCCATTAGGTTGCGTTTGATGGGGTCCCTTGAGGGGGGGGGACGCCAGAAAGAAGTTGGGGGGGCGCTCTTGAATTCGAGCGTGAGGCCGAGTCTGATGGTATCACGGACCCAGGTATCAGAGGTGGAAGAGTCCCATCGGTCGGCAAAGTGCTTGAGGCGTCCGCCGATGTGGGGGAGGGACGGGATCTATCTACGCCGGAAGGGCCTCCCTCCTGAACCCCTGAAGGGGCGCCTGTAGCCGCTGCCCCTCCTGTTCCTATCGGCTGGATCGGGTCGATCCTGGGGCTGGAACGGTCGGGAGGAGGGGGGTCTCGAGTACCTTGGCAGGAAGGGAGACTGGTAGAAAGGGCGGGAGGAGCCTCTCCGAAATGGCTGGGGGGCTCTAGACTCTGACCTCCGAAACAGAGGAGGGAGAAATTTTCTCTTGCTCCGGGTTTCAGATAGCAAGGGGTCCAGAGCCGTGCCAAATAGTTTGTCCCCTTTTATGGGGGCAGTAGCCAGCTTAACTTTGTTTTTAACGTCCGCCTGCCAGTGTTTAAGCCATAGCAGGCGGCGAGCAGTGACATGGGACGTTATTGCCCGGGCAGAGAACTTGACCGCATGGAAGGTGGCGTCAGCGGAGAATTCCGCCGCGGCCGTCAGTTTTGCTATGTCTTGGTGAGCCCTTGTGTTGGAGGAGGGAACATGTTGCTTCAGTTGCCGAAGCCACCGGATCGAAGATCTGGTGAAGAAAGAAGCCGCAGTGGCTGACCTAATGGCCCAGGAGTCCGCTTGATGAGCTCTACGTAAGGCGAGCTCGGACCTCTTGTCCTCGGGTTTCAGAGCCTCTAGGGGGTCACTGGGGGAGGACGAGGAGGCCAACCCAACAATGGGCTCATCCACCTCGGGGGTGTTGAGTAAGTCACAGAAACTTGACTCGAGGTTAAAGAACCTCCTGTCCAGGCTGGATGGGGCGGGAGGGGCCCTAGTAGAATTCAGTTGATTTGAGACCAGGTCATGAAATAGGGGTGGAGCCGGGATTACCTCCGCCTCCACCACGGGTTGACTAAAGATGGCGTCCTCCTGACCTTCTGCCAGGGAGGGGAGAGCTGAGGAGGTTTGCACAGACAGCCCAGAGATGTTCCTGGCTTTAAATAACAGGGATTTAAACATGTGGGGCTTGAACAGGCCCGCAACAGTGGGTTGGTCCGGGGTGAGACCCTCATCCTCGGACATGTCCCCCTCCATGGGATCTACCTCCGATAGGGGCTCCTCTTGTTGCATAGACCCCCATTCCATTTCCTCTTCCCCCCCAAATTGGTCTAGATACTCTATATCCTCCTCCGGGTCCCTTTCTGGGAGAGGACTGCCCCCTTGAGAAGGTACCTGACCACGAGTAGGGTCCGATCTAGGCGAGGACCTCACTGATGGTGGGTCGTGTTCGGGCGCCAGTGAGGGGGGAGTAGACCTGGACATCTGTTGAAGGCCCTCTGCTATCCCCTGGCGAATGGCCCGTTCCATCAATGCCTGTATGTGCACAGGGATCTCAGATGTGGGGGCCTCCTCCTGGCGAAGACCAGCGGCCGTGGGCGTGAATGTAGCTTCAGGAGGCCGTCTGGTTGATGGGCCGGGAACCTGGTGTCCCTGGGAAGGGCTGCGCCTGGAGACGGAAAAACAATCTGGAGGAGGGAGGGGTCTGGAGGTAGAAGGAGCGGAGGGTGCTGGAAGTACCGGTTGTGCCTCTCTGGACCGCCTGTCAAATTCCCTCTCGAGAGCCCTATGACGTCGTAGGGCGTCTCTCTGAGAAGCCTTAGAAGTCTCTTTAGGTGTTTCCTTAGGAGTTTCCGTAGGAGTTTCCTTAGCCTGTTTGCGCAGGTGGTAGGATTTGGATTTGGCCTTCAAAGAAGGGCCTTTGGTGGGAATGTCATCTGCCATTGTACAAGAAAGGACAGTAATACAGTTAAAGGCGGTTGGCTCGCCAAGGGTTCGACCTACAACAAAGGTCGGGTGTCCTTTCAGCTGGCCCACACCCCCTTTTGGAATTTAGATGTATAAATTCTGTAATATAGATGTTGAAATAATTCTTAATACTTATCTGCACAAGCAGGATAACAATCCAATGAGACTTGGAATGCTAAGGTTCAATATCAATAAGAGAAAAAATTACTGGAATAAACTCACCCAGGTCTATCTATATGTGAGTATAAATATAAACATATATGTGAGGAAATATCTAGACCTGCATACAGGCAGATATTCCAATGTCTATTAGTATTAGAACTATTGTTAATATTCTTGTTCTAATATTATTATGATTATTATTATTAATATATTGTTATTATTAATATTATTCTAATTATTATTATTATTGTAAGTATTAATATTATTATTATTACTCTAGTAATGAAAAATTGCCAATTTTCCGAATTAAACGCCTGAGGCTGGTAAGAGGCCTCTGGCAGCTGGAGCTCCCAGGCAACAACCGGGAGGGATAGGCTGCTATCACTTGCCCTGAGCCTGCTGCGGGAAGCCAACAATTACTAAAGTGTACCAATTACCAAAGGCCCTACAGGCTGAGAGGCCTGTGCTAGGGCCGGTTACTTCGCAGCGCTATGAGGCCTCAATCAAGATGGCGCCCGCCACGTGGAGGCGCCCTAGAGGCGATCGCCCACGTTCCTAAAGTCCCGGGCTGCTCAGGGCAACGAAGGTTACTTCTCCGGCCCTAAAAGAGGCCAAGGAAGCCAGGCAGTAAGTTTTCGCCCCTTCTTAGGGCGAGCGGCGTTTGCGGTGGTGGGGAATACCAGCAGCGCTATATCAGCGCGATCAGTAAAGCCGCTGCGAGCGCGGCGAGAGAAACGGCAGGCAAGAGATCGAATTGGGGGGGGGGATTAGCGCCGAAGCGCGAAAGCCGCCCGTTCTACAACCCCCCTGGGGGCGAAAGAAACGCGCTCCCCTTAAATCCCCAGTCCTGCGCCAGAAGGCTAAGGAAAATAAATTGTTTTTCTTGTAAATATATTCAAACCTGAGAGCAACTCTTGGATCGGCCAAGGAGTGAGAAATGCACAGCCTAACTTGACGACGGCTGAGCGCAAACTGGGGAACGCAAGAGAGCCACGTGATGGAGGGCGGAGCGTTCCTCAGTGATTGAGCTCAGCCATCAACGACGTAGACTGAAGCACCTCCCACTCTCTGGATGATCCGAACGGCTCTCAGGAGAATCAAAGTTCCATAAGTTACCAGCAAGGCTAGCATCCACTATGCTAACGACAATCATAAATTGGTTACCCATGTGATCAGCTTGATCTTACCTTTTTTGCAGCTTTCATTAAGAAAATGTTGTAGTTGCTAAGTCAACCAATGGGCTGGTTTTGCTGAAAACTGGAAGTAAATGTCAGTTTTCAGCAGAACTGTTGTAGAACACAATCATGTGACCACAAGATTCTGTAAAGTGCCATAAATTTAGTTTGGTTCCCATAAAGAAACCAAAATATGCTTATGGACTTCACTCACCAAATTAGATTTTGTGAAAAATGCCTTACTTTGATTTTCTACCTGCAATAGTGGCCATTACCAAAATCTTCCAATTTAAGATAGTAACCTGTATATATGGTGCATACATCAGCAATTATCTCAATGTGGATTCAGTCAATTTTCCATGGCTTATACTTTGTATGCCTAGAATTTTATGAAGAGTTGAATTAAGCAAAACCTTGTCAGAGTGAAATTATAGCTATGCTGTCTGAAATAATGGTTCAAATTCATTTTCAATTAATGTCTAGCTGCTGCTATGACGCAGCAAAGCAACCTGGTTTGCTCTTGGCTAATTTAAATTTAAGACTGCAGACTTTGCATGAAATATCTGGTTTCAGTTGGCTATGAAAAAAAATCATTTTTTTTTTTTGATCCAGACTTACAAAAGGCTTTAGTACAAAAAAAACCCTGTAATTCAGACATGCCAGGGGGATTGTTTCCTGTGATTAAATGCCTTACTGTTTTACAGCCAACACACAAAAGAATCTTTACATTAGTGAGATTCAGGGTCTTACTTTCAACTCTTTAATGAGGGAGATTCAATAGCACATCACCTAACTCCATATCCTTTGCAACAGTGGCCCCCAACCTTTTTTGTGCCACGGCCTGGTACCGGCATCACAAAATGATCCGCGGCCCGGTACCAGCATCAGCACGCATGGCAAGGTGAGCCGAGCGACCGGCCAGCCAGCCGTCCCCCGCTTCTCCCCGCCACCTTCAACTCCTCCTTTGTCGATGGGCTTCGGGACGGCTTCGGGACGGCCGCTCGGCTCGCCTTGCCTTGTGCTGAAAGAATTCTCGCGCCTTAGTTTTGTTCGAAGCCGCCCCCCCCCCCTCGATGAAACTAAGGCATGAGGATTCCTTCAGGACCCAAACGCCGCTTTCCAACCTGAAAAGCTTACCGGAAGCACTTTCTCATCAAAACAAGATGGCGGCGCCCAGAAACCGGTGGCCCGGTAGAAAATGTTTCACGGACCGGTCCCGGTGGTTGGGGACCCCTGCTTTGCAAGAAAGTAATACACAACCTTCTTAACTGCTCCTTTTATTCAAATTTGCATAAACACTTAATAACCAATCATAGCAAAGCAGCTGCCAATCTTATATTCCACTACCCTTTTGAGATAATTCAGTAATGAATTTGAGGGAGTGGTCAAATTCTGTTCAATCACAGAATTTGCTGCTATTTGTCAAGAGTAGTTTTGTTTTATCTAGATTCTAGAGTTTCAGGAGAGAATTTGAAAACAACTGTCATAAGATTAAGTTACAATAATTGATATTTGTATTATAGTTATTCATTTATGGCTACTTATTACACTTCAGTGACTTAAAATGTTAGTCTCCATTGAATTAAAATATAAACATTCCAGTATTTGATAATTTAATAGTTCCAGTAATGTGGAAAGTAGCTGTATATTTTAGAGATATTTTAAACTTTTTTGAAAAATAATCCTTTTATTTTTGATCATGGCTCATGCTGTACTTCATTATCCAAATTATTAATTTATCTTGCATTAATTTTGGTCTTTGTCAAATAAAAAAGGAAAGGGATTGGTGGTGCATATGAACATGTGGAATCACAGTTCAATTTACATTTTTGTGATGTATTGGTGTGTCATTAATCAAGAGAACACGACTAGTTGGAGGAAAGGTAAACTGAACTCTAAGCACCTGGAGGGCAGGCATCAGATTACCTATTGCTGTATTAGATTTTATCTTAAGAGGAGCAGTGTAAAAATCTTAGATGATTGATGTCATGCTATGGATGTGATAACAAGGAACGAACCATATACACATGATCCTTGTGTGATCCATTATTAAATTATATGCTTTCTCTGACCTGTGACTTGCACACTTCCATCCTTAAGCTTAAGCATCCTTAAGTTCCACTCCTTAAGCTTGGATGTCAGAAGCTCAGCTTTGGACTTTGTAAGATAAAGGTCTCTGATCAGATTGCTGAGGTCTTTCTGATTGGAGAAGTATGGCTTTTTCTCCTCAGCCACATCTGTGGAATTGTAATCTGTATCTGCAATACCTTCCTTGCTGGTTTGACTTGCTTCTCACTCCTGAACATGGCTGATCCATTTCTGGAGGGGTGGGAATGGGAAGCTCAGGGCAGTGTGGTACTGGGGCAATGAATGAAGAAATGTCTGGATACATGATAGGAGGGGCGCTCTTCCCAGTTCAATGTTTGGAAGGGTCTACCACGCCGAAGTAGCAGTTGCTCGAGTGGTCAGTTGGTTCCTGCCAAATTCTTGGGATAACAAACTTCATGGCTCTTTTTTCCCTGCACCAGTCTGTAAAAATAGTAGAATTATATAAATTAAAACAAAAAGATATTTCACACATTACCTAATATTGTGCAAGATATTACCATAGGGCATAAAATATATATTGCACTCTTTTCCTAGAATATTGAAAATAGTGAAAATGTTCTTAATTGCCACTCTTTTAAATTGTAATAAATCACTGAATAAACATAAATCTAGAGAGCAGCAATTGTTCACCTTACCTTCAAGAGTTTTCGTGCAGTGTTTGCATGTGAAATGAACTACCCAGGGCTTGTCTTGATCACTGACAGGTATGCCAAAGTATGTTTTTTAGGCCTCGCACATCTTAACTGATACTTTCAGAGTACTTTTCGCTCTTGACTTGACAATTTTCCACACACAGCAAAATACACCTGCTGGATGCAAGCAACTTCTATTTATTATTTGTTATTCTCTTATTCAGCAATTAGACAAACTAAAATGTTGGTTTAAGGCAGTGGCGTACACCAGGGACCTGTTCCATGGAAAGGTTTTTCTGTGGACCAGAGGGGGCGTGATTTCATCTGCTACCTGGATGGGGCTTTGCTTGTTTGTGCGACCAAGTTTCTGGCATTCTGTGGCTGGGGCTGGTCCATGGACTGGGGGTTGCGGACCGGATATTTATTGGATAGTCCCAGGAAATTCTAGAAAATTCCAACCAATTCTAGAAACTTCTGGAGAGTTCCAGAATATTCTGGAAGTGTACTCAGCATTGAATGTTAATAAAGAATGTTCTTGAAAACAGATAAGCTTCAAAATATCGTCATCCTGATCAGAGAATCAAAGTTTTTTCTGGAACAATAGCTATTTTCTCTTTATTTTAGGCATAAGGGATTAGGAAAACATACTTTATGCTAGAGGTCTCCAAACTTGGCAACTTTAAAGACTTGTGGACGCCCACAAATCTTAAAGTTGCCAAGTTTGGGGACCCCTGCTTTATACCAAGGAACAAAAATGAAATTGAAATTTGTTATAGGTCGTTCTCTCTATTCAAAAAACATGAACACCTATGAGTTACTCAGGCCTTGACAATTGTAGTGTCACAAAAATGTTAATCTGTATTCTGTTGGATAATGTAGTCCACGGGTAGTAATTTCACAGGATTAGCTTAATTACCGAACATATTTATACAAGCAGTCCTCAACTTACAACTGAGCCCCAAATTCCTGTTGCTAAGTGAGACAGTTGTTAAATGAGTTTTGCCCCATTTTGTGACCTTTCTTGCCACGGTTGTTAAGTGAATCACTGTGGTTAAGTTAGCAACACGCTTGTTAAGCCAACCTGGCTTCCAGCCATTGCTTGGTCACAAAAGGAGATTACATGACCCCAGGACATAGCAAGGGTGGTAAATATGTCAGATGCCAAGCCTCTGAATTTGATCACATGACCATGGGGAAAATGCTGCAAGTCATTAAGCGGGAAAAACGGTGGTAAGCCACTTATTCTCAGTGCCGTTGTAACTAAGCGAAGTTGTAAGTCGAGAACCACCTGTAATATCACCCTTGGCGGTTTGTTTTAAAAACGAAGCGAGTGAATAATGTCAGGCGATCTCCAGAGAGGCAATCGGGAAAACCTACAATATCCTCTCTTCCAAAAGAAACCCATCCCCAGCAGGGGTTTTGCCGCTCAGCTCGTTCGTTGCTCCTTTAAGAATCACCAAGAGGTGGAGTTTCCGGTTTGTCGGCTTCGCGAGCGGTAGGGATTCGCGAAGCTGCGCGATCCCTGCCGCGCTAGCCGTTTTGGGGCTCCGACCCGGACGGGTGCGGAGCAAGGCTGCCCTGCAGGGGTAGCTGAAGGTAAGGGGGATCCGGAGGAAGGGTTTGGGGGTGTTGCAGACCCCCTCCCTGGCCGGCAGAACCCCCTGTTACCAGGACGGTGCAGCGGCGGTCCGTAATGGCCGCCACAAAGAAGTTGACAGCCGGGCAAGTATGCGCAGGAGGAAGAAGAGAAAGTTATTGAAAGTAAAAGTTCTTCTTGGTCGACCCAGGGCTTTGAGATTTATCTAATTTAATTCCTGGAAAAGATGGTTTTCTGATGATTTCTTCCACAAGAGAAAAAAAAGCGGCTGTTTTGAGGTGCTGAAGGGAAAGTTTACTCTCCCTCCCGACGGAATTAAGCCGGAAGGGAGAGGATAAAGAAAATTTATAAATTTGGATCTTGTTGGAGGAGATGCCTTGAAGACTTGAGGACAGAAATACAATCTTAATAAGGCTTTAAAATATAGACTTGGATTCTTTTTTTTTATTTGTTTGATACCACCCCTGGAAGAGGAAGGGGGAATTTTGGCTTGCTTGGATTTATTGAGGATTGTGGATTTTGGGATTGTTTTGCCTTTCTCTCGGAATATTTGGTTGGTGTAAGAAGAAAGAGGAATAAAGAAAAGAAAAGACTTATTTATAATGGCTTTCCTTTTTGAAGACCTGAGGGATGAATATGAGCAAACAAAAGTAATCTGCAAAGATGGCATGGAAAAAGCTTTTCTATTTCTAGAAATGGCGCTGGTCAATTACCAACAGACAATGGAACAGATGGAAACGGAAGAAGAACAACAAGGAAGAGACGAAGACGCCATCTTCATTGAATCCCAAAACTTATCTAAGGAAGAAGGAAGGAAGAGAGCAAGGAAAATGAAGGACTTAAGATCTAAAAAAACATTTGAGAAAGAGAAAAATATGATGCAAAGTAAATATAATGATAACAAACAAGAGAAAAAGGGAATGCAACAGAGAAGGGATCCCAGCAAGGCAGAGGTTAGAAGAAGAAGGGGGGGTAGGAAGATTTGGTGGGGGAAGAAAGAAAGGGGAAAGGCGGAGAAAAGCCTCAAAGCTTTAAAATTGGATGGGAGAAGAGGGATTTTTTTTAGAGATAAAGGATGAAATATAATTTTCTGTAAGAAAGATTCTGCTAAGGTACAGAAGATGGTATTGTAATATTTATATTTGAAATAGTAAATTAGAATGCTTTAAGATTTAATAAGAAATTAAAATGTTGAAGTTTTTATTAATGATTGATTTTTAAAATGTAATAAAATATCGAAGGAAAGGAGGATACAATGTATTTAAACATTTTTGGTGGATAGAATGTACCAAGCAGAACCAAATTGGGTATTTGTTATGTTGAATGTTAATTTTACTAACTTAGGGGGAGGATAGAAAGGCATCATACTCTGATTAGTGATTTCAGGAGAAATTTTTTCTTTTATTATAAGAAGAGATAGAGGGATAAATGAATGGGCAAAAGATACAAATTTAATGATTTAATTAAGATGGATTAAATAAGATAGAAATGTGAAGAGTGATATGTGTTATTATTTTAGCCCATGCAAAGAGAGGTAACTGGGGCCAAGGTACTTTACTAAAAGATTTTTTTTATGTTTGTTTGTGTTTGTTTGTGTTTTATGAGAATATTGGGGAAATTATTGTAGAAAAACAGGGAAAGATTCAATATGTAATGATTTGTTTGTTGTTGAAACTTTTAATAAAACTTGTTTTTAAAAAAAAAAAAAGAATCACCAAGAGGTAAGAAAAATGCCCACGCCTCACACGCGCTCTCCCGCCTTCCTGTCAAGCCTACTACTCAGTCAGCCGCCGGAGCAACTTCCAACGCCCGCTTCCCTCGCGCGCCCCTCCAAAATGCCCCCATGAAGGCAAAACCGTCGACGAAAGCGATTGGTTCCCACTGAGAGCTACGCGTGGGCGCGGCCTCTCGTGTCACGTGCAACACTCCTTGAACCAATCGGATGATCGCGTGATGTGAACCCCGGCCGCCGCTACGGCTGCCGCCAGAACAAGCTGGGTTGTTCTCCCCCCCCCCTTCCTTCCTCCTTCCCTCCCTCCCTCTTCTCCCCAAGATGGCGGCACCGGCGGGTGACTGAGGGGAGCTGTTGGCCGAGAACTGGAAAAGACAATTCTGGCTGCTGCCGGGAAAGGAAAAGACGACGTTCCCGCCTCGTTTTTTGTTTTTCCCCCTCTCGCCGCTTCGCCCACTTCCCCTTCGGCCCTCTAGGAGGATGGTAAAATGACCCAAGTGGGAAAGAAAAAGAAAAGGGCCGCCAACCGCAGCATCTTGCTGGCTAAAAAGATCATCATTAAGGACGGCGGCACGGTGAGGAAGCGGCTCGTGTTGGTTGTGGGGGGGGGCGGGAAGGAGGGGGGGGTTGGCGATCTCGAAGCCCGTGGGGAGAAAGCGAGGCTGCTGGCGGGGCGAGTGGACGGGGCCGCCGGGCTTGCTTTGTGAGGCCTGCGTTACGGGGGTGGGGTGGGGAGAACGGACCTGTCAGCGTGGACCAACCGCGTGCCGCCTCGGTTTCCCCCGCGTGGACAACTCGTATCGTATATATCCTAATGGTTACGGGTTCACGCTATAGGGAGAGGAGAGACAGAGAGAGAGAGTCGTTCCCCCATCCCAATGCACTTGTTGAGATTGAGACCGCTTTAAACCCGGGCTTGAGAAACGTGTCCTTTAAAAAGGCGAATCGTCGAACTTCTGTTTTTTTGTTTTTTTTTGGACTTTTGTTTTCTATCCCCGTTTTATCGATATTCTGATTTCGCTTTATTTGGCTTCTTTGAGGAGAGATTCGGAGATTTCGAAACTACGAAAATGAGAACAGGGCATGCTTTCTCTTCCTCTCGCAATTTTTACTCTGTAAAATTGCTTAAGCGTATAAATATACTGTGCTCTTAACTTTTGGGCAGTATTTTAATCTAGGGAATCCTTCAGTTGTTGAGAATCGCTGGTTTTCAGTGATTTGCTATTTTTTATCGGTGGTCAGTCTACCGGGTCTCCTGTTTTGAAAAACTGATTGGAATAGCTCCATCAAAACGTTTAACCACCAACTGTTTTTCTTAAATCATTTTGTTGAGTAATTTTGTTGAAGTAAACTGCTCGGATGGGATCATTTGTTACAAAATAACATGAAGTACAGGTAGGTGGTCCTTCTCTAATGACCACAATTGAGCCCAACATTGATGCTGTTGAGTGAGAATTTGTTAAGTGAGTTTTGTCCCATTTTATGACATTTCTCGCCACAATTGTTAAATGAATCACTGCAGTTGATAAGTTAGTAACCTGGTTGTTAAGTGAATCTGGCTTCCCCATTGACTTTGCTTGTCAGAAGGTTGCAAAAGGGGATCACATGACCCTGGGATGCTGTAATGGACATAAGTATGAACCAGTTGCCAAGCACCTGAATTTTGGTCACATGATCATGGGGCCATGAGTGGCCATGGGCGAATAGGCAGCAGTATAAATTCAATAAATAATGCTGCAAAGGATGTAGCTGTGAAATACATAAGTCAGTTTTTCCAGTGCCCTTGTAACTTTGAACAGTCACTAAATGAACTGTTGTAAGTCGAGGACTACATGTATATAACTTTCAGTTATTATACTTTATCTAAGGAAATCCTATGGAAATGGTCTTTAGTTGGGGTACTTGCCCAGTATTTCTTTGTTTTATCTGTTTTGCAATAATCATGTTGTGGTCACGTGTAAACATAATTGAACTGAAGAATAAAACATTTGATGTGATTTTTAGTGATATGTAGAAATACCAATTATCAGATGTGTAGGTATTCTTATGTATTGTAGGGTGTGTCTCACCAATGTAGTGCTAGGAACTTCATAGTTTTGTGTTTCAAACCAGACCACGTAGTTTGTCCTTTTGAAATAGGAAAATGATGTGTTTTTCCCTTGTCAGTCATGGTAGTAGCAAAGATAACCAACTTGTGGCCTACCTTACTGATAACCCTAAAGATACCTTTAGTGGAGTACGCATAGGAAAGTTGCTGTAGTGGCAAGCTAATCTAGAGAGCCAGATGCTTTAAGGCAGTGGTCCCCAACCTTTTTTATGCCGCGGCCCGGTACCGGCATCAGCTGGGCGCCGCCATCTTGTTTTGATGAAAAAGTGCTTCCGGTGAGCTTTCTACCCGGAAAAGCTCACCGGAAGCACTTTTTCATCAAAACAAGATGGCGGAGCCCAGCAAAACAGCGGCCCGGTAGGATTTGTTCCACGGACCGGTACCGGTCCGCGGACCGGTGGTTGGGGACCCCTGCTTTAAGGAACATTGAAGTGATTATGGGCAACTATCAGAAGAGCAATAAGGGAAGTTTGGTTCAGTTGCTGTGTAGTACTGCTTTATTCTGTTGACTGATAGAACTCGTCCTGCTTTTGGAGTGATCTGAAACCAGTTGCACCTGATTGTTATGTGTTTAAATATTTGAATAAAGTTTTGAATACAATATTTGAATAACATAAGATCCATTGAGTTTAATTTGAGACAGGGTTGTATAAAAAGTGCTTTACATTTTTAACATATGCTGTGATTGCACCAGTCCATGATTAACATGTCAGCTGTATGCTTAGGGGTACTGTAAACAGGCATCAGAGGACTACAGCCAATTAAAGTGCCCTAATGTGTGTCCCTGAGTCTTTAGGGACTGATCACCTATTTACACTTTGCTATCTGAACTCTGATCAGCTATTATGTTTGCAGTATGATCCTCAGCTGATTCTGCTGTTGCTTTTTGCAGGTGTATTTCCATTTCAGAGAAAGAAAATTATGCCCTTGAAAATCATGTGTGCAAATTAGTAACATGTCAAAGTGCTGAATTTTTAAGTTTAATACTCAAGGACATGTGATACCAAGTTGCAGTATGATCCTTGTTATTTAAGGATATGAATGTTTATGCGGCAACAAATTATGTAATATTTATAAGGTCTCTACTATATTATTATTATTATTCTTTAAATGGGAAATAATAGTTACACAAAACACAGGCTTGCTGAGAAAATGTGACAAATTTGTATTATGCCATGTCTTTGAATGAGCTGTAAAGTTTGCTGTGTTGTAATGGTAATTTTAATACTGTTAATTGGGGAAAGCTTGTTGATAATAGTTCTTTAAAATATGTAGGACTCTTGTCTATGGAGATTCTCAGTCACCCAGGTCATGGTTGTCCCAAAAGTGCTTTTTCAAGAGGCAACTTAAAAAGCAACTTTGAGACATGTAGGACCCTTATTGTGATCCCATTAACTTGTAAACTCTTGAATATATTTCTGTTAAAAAAAATCCTCTCAAAAGTATATTATTTTGGTATTAAAGAAGCAACCTTGTGGTATTTTAAACAAGACGTTCAGTTACTTCTGTTAAGTTGGGTTGTGTGATACCATCTAGGGATATGTCAAATGTTACAGAAAAAGTTTGGTTCATGGAACAATTGGTGTAGGCGATGTGTCTCTGGAAGGAAGGCTCTGGGAAGATTAGCATGTGAAGTGGCATACAGACAATGTAGGGTTGCCCTGTAACATCTCTCTGAATTTTATTTTGGTCATTACCTAAAACAACTAGGAGACGTCATGTGTTAGTTTAAGGCAAATCGCAACCTTCCCAAAACAGTTTGACTAGATTCCTGAGCAACAGCTTATTTGTTTCACACATGAACAATACATTTTCCATTTTCTGAATATTCCTATTATTACCCAATACTGGTAATACTTTGAAATCTTCTTTCTGCTATGTTTTAGAGTATGCTTATCTTTTAAGGTGCTTCTTTTTTAGTTCATGTGAAACAGTACTTAATGATATCTCTAATGCACAAATTTTTCAGAGCTGTATGCTGTTTTTTAAAGAATAAGTAATACATAGTGCTCTTTTCGTTTCTTACGAGTATAATATTGAGAAAAGAGCTACAGACAAACATTTTATCCTCAAGATTCATACTGTACTGAAGTATGTTGTTCTCCTGCCACCTATTATTATTTTGCTAAATAGTCAATTATAAATTGCAGTCAGTATAAACCTGTGAACGGAGCTGACTTGATGGATTCAAGTACATGAATTTAGAACAATAAAACTGGCACTTTCAAGGGTCCTGCATTTTCAAAGATATTTCACATCTTGTTATTGTATAAAATAGTGTAAAGAGGAATTAATCCAGAAGTCAAATGTAGAACATCAAAACTTCTAGAATTCCTTGATTTTTTTCAATAGTTATGTTATTGGATTTTTGAAATTTTAACGGTCACATATCCTGATTCTTGATGACTTGTAGAAGCTGCTTTAAAAATATCTTTGTAATTTTATTCTATTACTGCCAGTGTCAATTGTGGCCTAGTACGGTTGTGTGACTGGATAAATGGAGAATGAATATATTGTTGATGATAAAGTTACCTCTCCCATCCTTGAAGAAAATAGAGTTGCAGTACTTCCTCTTACATTTCTTAATCTCTTATGCTTCTTGAGTGTATGGTACTATAACAAGTAAAGGCTTTTATAGCTGCTCATGCAATGATTCAGTGATACAGTTGGTCCTTGATTTAACCATTCATTCAGCAACTATTCAAAGTTATACCTATGCTGAACAAAGAGACTTAACACTGGTCTTTAAGTTATGGCTGTGTAGCACCCCACAGTCACGTGATCAAAATTTCAAAGTTTGACAGCCTGCTCTTATGACTGCAGGAGTGCTTCAGCTTTCCCACCTGTCATTCTCCCTTTGGGCCGCTGCTGCCAAAGCCATTCTAGCTTATTTTTATTTTCTTGCCCCCACTGCTGACCAAACATATCTGGCCAGGCTGTATGCAAAGCAACTACTGGCTACACAACACTTTCTTCCTTAGGTCACCCATGGTTATTTCCTCGTGAGACCTGGGAAAGATGGTCTCATGTGGCCAAGCAGCTATTTTGCTCCCAGTC